AAACTTCTGTGTGTGTGTGTGTGTGTGTGTGTGTCACACAAGGTGGCACTGACACATTCTCAGACCAACCAAGAAGAGATTAAAAAGAATTCTGATGGTTGGTCATTCAGCAAAGCCAATAACTTTCAGCAGCCTCTTTTTTGTGTGTATGTGAATTTAGATAGCAGTCATTAACATAAGCTTAGACAAATATTTTACCTTTTTTAAAACTAGAGAATATATACATGTCTGGCATGGATTCAAATGTCGAGGTACTATCCAAATGTATGAGGTCTAGCACTCTTGACCAGCTCTACTTCTAGCTGTTAGCATTACCCTTTTTTCTAATTATTATATAGCATATTTAGAAAATAAAATACTTAATGTAGGTACCTCCACGAAATTGCTTAAAAAAAAAAAAAAAAAAAAAAAAGAGCATAGTCTGATGAAAAAGACGCCAAACTTTATGAAAACAAAATTTTATCGTCTAAATGCTTATGTTTTTATGAAGAGGAAAGACCAAATTATTTTTTAAAATTTTTTCTTCTTTTTAGAACATTCTAAATTTTGATTAAAAAAACCTTGTTTCTCTTTGTACCAACCGGAACTAGTAAATAACAGACAATTTTTAGCACGTTTTTTTTTTTTGTATTACACACCTTAATTTGGAAAATCTTGCAAAAACAAAAATAATTGTCGGATGTTAATGAAACTTTCAGAAACTATTCACAGATGATCAAAATTATTATAAATATGATTTTTTTTATTAAAGACATGGCAGAAATATGTTTTTTTTCATATTTATTAACACCCTCATAACTAATTTTATGAAAAACTCTAGAAATTCGATTGCATCAATTTTAGTGATTACAATAGTTAAAAGCACAAGGCTTTGAAGAATGCAAATCATGTTTTTTTTTTTTTTAATTGGATCTGCCATACCTGAAAATCAGCTCTGAATTGTAACATACAAAACTCAATAAAACAAAGATACTATTTAATTTCAAATGCTTTTATTTGTTTTTAGTTGTTTTTATGAATATGGACAATATTTTCTGAAAGCAAAAAATTTTATTAATGAAAATTGAATTTTTAATACAATTATTTGTTATTTCTTTAATTATAATAGATTTTTACATTAAGTTTTTAAAAAATATTATAAAATTAGTTAAAAGCCACATCAGTTTTTCTAAGTGTCCTTATGAGATAGATCATTGTCTAGTGCTTTGAAAATTGTATCATTTAGACCAATCAGAAGATCCGCAGTAATTAAGAAATGTAATTTTGTGTTTATAATCGGGCGGTAATTATAAAGTACGGAAGACCAACCAGAATACAATTAAGTTGCATTATTTGAGTTCAGCATTGTTCTCCGCTGTTAAGGCCTTTACTTTTGTAAAACACGTATGGAGAAGTTAATTTGATTTTTCAATTTCAACTGAGAAGGGTACCTACAAGTATCAATATCATCTTACAAAATTTAACTACTGCTGCTAAACTTTAATTTATATGATCTTATTTTTATATTAATCTCAGTTATGGCATTTTTCCATAAATGAAATATCAAAATTAATAATAAAATGAATGGAAATACAAATAACACAGTAAAATGTAATAAATGTACATAAAATTATAGTATTTTATGTACACTTCTGATAAAATTTCATAAGAAAGGTACCTATAAATTAATTAGATACCTTTCTCATGAAATTTATGAAATTTAATCTCACTCTTAACGGTCTTATTTTTTAATTTCTTTATAATATATTTTCCATAAAGCATCGTAAACGCAAAGATGAAAGCTAAGTACAAAAAAAAAATTAAAAAATTAGAGTGCTGAAAGTTTTCCTTAAAAGTAACGAGGTAAATAATTTGTTCACTTAAATCTAAATAATTTCACTTCCATGCATCCATAGAAAGAATTATCCTCCCGTAAGTTATCTAAACGTCATGAAAATGTCTTTCGTTACCTGTCAAGTGACACGAAAGGTTATGACCTGCTTTGTTTTATTTTCAAATTACATTTTTTCGGCACAGAAGCTAAGTTAAGCTTGGTTCAAAATATTTTAAATAAACATTATAATTTCTGATTCTATTAAAATAAGTTTTGAAAAAATGATTAATTGATTTTTAAAAGAATGTCAAAGTGAGATTTTCATCTTTTTTATAAAATGGAAAAAAAGTGATTGAAAATGATGGATTATCTGTCCTGTTTTTTTGACAAAAAAAAAAAACAAAAAAAAAACGAGATTTTTAATGAAAATTTTGGACGTGCTAGGAACGATTAAAAAAATGTAAAAAAAAATACCCCCAAAATACTTTGATCTTTCCTCTTTAATAATAATATGAACATTAGATGATAAAATTTTGTTTTCGTCAAGTTTGGCGTCTTTTTCATCATGCTATGCTCTTTTTGTTTACATTTCGTAGAGGTACCTAACTTAATGACACTAATAATGATACATTGATGACATTTTTGTTTTAGCTAAAAATATTGATCAAATTACACAACTTAAAAACAAATTTGAAAGTCACTTTGTCCTCAAATTTACATTAGAACTTAATATTAATAAAATTCTATTTCTGGATATATTTTTTTCTTTTTTTTCAAGCTACTTCTATAATCATATAAAAGTATATTTATGACAAAATATGCCAGCATAACAATATAATTACTTTATTTATAAGCAAAATAAAAAAAAATACTTTCATGCTTATTGTTTCTGGTTATATTTTTGTTCTAGAATTCATAGTTTTGCAATGATTTCAGTTTCATTAAAACTGTTTTAATGTGGAAAATTATTAATTTAAAGATTAAAATGCAAATAACATTTCATACACCCTTGTTAACAGTGGGAAGTGATGGATCTGAAGTTCCATCAAATTATATATTAATTGTAATAAGACCTTAATAAAGAAAAAGATATACCAAGAGGAATAACTTTTTGAGTCAAATTAATTGTGTTCTTAATTTCTACATTTTTTTTTTTTAATTTCAACAGCAGCAAACTACCATAAAACCAAATTGATAGTCCTCCAGTTACAGGCAAGACATACACAATGACATGGTCTTAAAGATCACCATAGTTAATGGAATAAATTGGGCTTTATAGCTATGTATGGCATCTTTCTAGACTGAAGTCAAAAGCCAAGGCAGAGGGTTCCTCAGGTGGAATCAATGGCCATGTGTCCATGACTAAGGCAAGCCTTCAAGTTGGATCACACTGAATGTAGTTTGACAAGTAATGAGCTCCACCAGGTTTACTTGCCCTACACATGCAATGTATGAATGAATACCTCTCCAGTTTTCAACCCAGATATAAGGAAGGAACTGGTCAGGTGATCATGGAACTGATGATGAGGTGGAGGAGGAGAATAAAGAGGATTAGTAATATTAAAGTTTGTAGCAGACAAATTTTTCTTTCTGATTATAATATTTTTAAATAATACAACTCCATAATCTCCAAGACTGATGGATGCTTATATATAAATAGTATTAAAAGTATTTTTTATAAAAATCTCTCAAAAATAGGTTTTAAGCCAGTAATCTCAAATTTCCGAGATGAAATGTTGTGATTATCTATTTTATTATAGTAGTTTTTCTTTCATCTAATTTTTGTTGCTTTTTTTTATCACAACTACCAGTTTTTACATTATACAATAGATAAGAAAGTAGCAAAAATAAGAATTATTACATTACATGTAATCAAACAATATATCAGAGAAAAAAAACACTCAACATTTAGTGAAGAATGTAGCTACATGACTTGAATGAAGTCTGCTGCTAGACTATGCCCTGTGTATATAGAAGCACAGATGTGATGAGATGGGCACTGATCATTTAAGTAATTCATACCACATCCAAAATTAATCTCTACTAATAGAAAACAGTGATCCTACTTTCCCTCCTAAGATCAATGTACTGATGATGATGAGGAGAACCTATGCTGATGACATAGTTATTCAGAGTTGGGATAAGAATAATCTTGAACAAAATAAAATCTGACATCTCTACCAATTATTCCAAGATATAGAACTCTCGATAAACCTTTTCAAAAGAGAAAATATAATCTGGAATTAGAATGAAAGTAGTGATGGCACATACTCTGAAGCAATCTTAAAAATTCAGGATGTGGAATTAGAAAATACTAAACACATCAAATACCTTAGTGTATGGATCACTTATAACAAATTTAGTATAGAAGAAAGGAAACTGAACATTGAATAGGCTGTGCTAGTGGTAGTTTCATCCAACACTGCAAACTGTTTCAAAATCAAAACATTAACTTAAAAACTTGAGTTACATTCTTAAATAGCCTCTGAAAACCAAAACTTTCATATGGATGTTATGCATGGTGCAAAAATCATTCAGAAATATCTAAATTATCAGCTGCATACAACCATTTTCTTGGATCAATGGTGAATGAAACCTGTACGTGACAATGAGGACCATACTTATTAGAACTTTGTGTACTAGTGCTACAGAATCATGAATAAAAGAACTGTACCAAATAACAAAAACCACATCACTTGAGGAAATTCAACAACAGCAACAACTAAAATGGATACCACTTGTAACATGAAGAAAAAATAATGACATAATTAAGATATTGACATTCTACGCTACTTCAAACAAAAGGTTAGGAAGAAAGCCTCCATCAGTACTGCAAAGAGTGATAAGAACTAGTGAACTTGTTGAGAAACCTAAGAGAAAGATTTTATAAAT